TCTCTATGATAGTGTTGTATGTGTTCTTTGATGCCCTCGGCTTGAGCTAATAGGATAAAAAATATTATCTGTAAGATTTCTATACCATCATTAAATACTTTCTCATATTTTCTTCCAGATTTTTGAAGGAAATAGTAATACCAAAGGACATGTGAAGAATTTTTTCAAGCCACCAATCATTTCCAGATTTATCCGCATCATTCCTAAAACATGGAATCAAAGTATTGCGCTTCGCCTGGAACTCTTTGGCTGTGATGTTTACTAGAATTAAATATTCAAAAAGACAGGAGAGACTCTTTAAGACCTCAAACCATTTAGAGCAGGCGATGTATTTCATGGCTATTTTAAACGTTAACAATTTTCCATTATTTCTCTTTTTTTCTATTAGAGAATAAAATTTTATATAAGAAACTTTTAGAATGTAATTCCTTGTTACCATTAAGTGAGATGATAGCTATTATGTCTGCATTAATTTGAATATAGATGGGAAAATATCAATAACCAACAAGAAAATAGCTTATCTTTCACAATGAGTAAAAATGCCAGATAAGGTAATACTTATGTAGTTAACATGCTTCATTATAGCTTTTTAAAATTCTATACACATTAATAAAAAAGATATTACTCTTTAAACCATTTATAGACCTGAATAACTTTCATTCTTACATTTTTCTTTAAAGGAACTATGACTTAAAAACAAAGGAAACAGAGACAAGATTTTGAGGATTTTTTGTTCTTTCTTGTTTGTTTCGTTTTAGTGGCTGGCCGGCTTGGGGATCAAAACCTGTGACCTTGGGGTTGTAAGGCTGTGTCCAACCAACTAAGCTAACCTGCCAGCCCCAAAGACAAGATTTTTAAATGGTTTGCTTTTCTTGACAGTGGATAGAAAAACAATCTTAACCTATGAAATAAGTGCTTAAAATACCCTGTTTCCTATACAACAATGATTTTTCTGACTCTCCGTGAGTAAAGGAACAGGCAGTGGATAGAAAAACAATCTTAACCTATGAAATAAGTGCTTAAAATACCCTGTTTCCTATACGACAATGATTTTTCTGACTCTCCGTGAGTAAAGGAACAGGTAAGCGCGTTTTCAGCAGTCCCACTGGACTTGTGAATCTGTCTTGGTCTCCCATGGGACTGACTGTACATATTGATGTTCAAGGTTAGTGGTCATTAGACATCAAACTGAACCAAAAATAACCATGTAGGAACTGAATGTGAAACATTGGTTTCATTCTAGCTGACACTACATGGCACACTGTTTCAGAACGTAGGCTCACCTAAGGGAAAGCTAAGCCTTGTAAGGCAGAGCACTGGAACGTCCTAATACAGCTAGCCGTTCCTGCCAGAACTGGCCGCTGGCCAAATTGGCAAGTGGCTGAAGTTTTCTTTCAGTGCCCTTCTCTCTGTGGCCTCAACCCCCTCCAGCAACTTCCCCTTTCGTCCCTGGGAACTTGGCATCGATGGTCCTCTAGATATTGTGGGACTGGGGAGCCTTTTGTCACCCTTAAAGTCAAAAGGGATAGACAGTCACTGTTGAATCTATTTTTTTGAAACGAATCATCCCCAAACTCAGTGCTTAAAACAACAACCACAAAAAAATATGTGAGGCTATGGATATGTTAATTAGCTCTATTTACCTATCCCACAATGTGTACATGTATCAAAACATTGTATGTTGTACACTATGTATGTGATTTTTATTCGTCACCTACAAAAAATTTTTTTTTTAATTTAACAGCAATATCAACAAATTCATCATCGCTCATGGTCTGTGGGTTGACTGGGCTCAGCTGGGCAGTTTTATTGCTGGCTTCATCTGGAGTCTCTCACAAGATTACAGTCAGACGATAGCTACAGCTGGAGTCATCAGGAGGCCCAACTGAATGCTGAGACAACTGGTCCTCTTCAAGTAGTTTCAGGTCCTCTGCTCACTACATGGCTTCTCCACATGGTCTTCCCACTTCATGTCTCCAACAGGGTGGAGACTTCTTATATGATGGCTCAGACTCCCAAAAGCAAATGTCCAAGAGGTAGGAGGCATAAGCTTCCAGTACTTTTACAGATGAGGCCCAACACTGGTACAGCCTCACTTTTGCCTCATTCCATTGGTTAACACAAGTTATAGGCCAATCTGGATTTAGTGTAGGAAGGATCTACACAGAGGGTGCATACCAGGAGGCATAGTTCATTGGGAGCATCTTTAGAAACTAGCAGAGTTACCTATTACACCTGCGGGGGTGAGCCTTGTGCATATCTATGAGAGCTTCAAACATCCACAAAACACTGGCTTTCTAATATTTGTATTCTCATTATTTCTTCCTTTTCATGATTTATGTCACTGGTTCACCAAAATTTCTCTAAGATTTTCATTCTGTTAAGAGCAAAAGAGAGCATCTAAAGGTAAAGGAAGCATTCCTTTGTTCTCTGCAGGACTGGCCTCATGGCTGTATAATCTGTTCAGTCTCAAAGGGCTCCATGCTCAGAAAAACCCCATGCTTAGTTTAGTGCTCTGCTGTCACCCTCAAAGTCTTTAATTTTTTCACAAGGAATCCAACACTTTGATTTTGCAATGAGCTCCACAAATTATGCAGCTAGTCTTGGGTCTGTCTACTGCAGAATTGGGCAGGATCTCTCTTAATCTAGAATCTACTGAGAGGCAAGAAAATTATGTAGAGTCACAGGTAGGGAAAGAGATGAGAACGGAGCACGAGATCCAACTTTGTTATCTTACATATGAGAAAAACAAGGCTTCAAAGGTTAAACAACTTGCCTAAGACTATTGCTTATTAGTGTCAGAGTTGAAGTCAGAAACCAGGTGATCATATTCCCAACCTTTCAGTTTGGTTTCTCTTCCATAAAATAGAAATTGAAATTATAACTTTTCTGATTCATAGTCCCAGACAGGTAGACATGAAAATTAATAATGACTGTTTATTGATCTGGAAAATACTTGTTTAGGGATCAATGAGATATTTGGTCTATATCTCACGCTGTGCAGAAATATTAAAACCTCTCTTATTTTGAAATTAGAAGCATTTTCGTGTTTTATTCCTCTCTTTGAATTCATTTAGATGGAATTACAACTTTGGCTACATAGTATATCCTCCACTGACATAACATAGTCCACTGTTTGTTATGTTGTAACTTGTTGCTATGGAAAGAAGTTAAATGACTCAGTGTAATCATGACTTGGAAGGAGAAACCTACAGATAAAATACCAAATATTAATCATTCTTTTTTTTCTTTTGTCTTTTTTCGTGTCCGGCAACGGATCACAACCCTCAGTGTCGTGCCCGTACCGGACCGGGACCAGCAACGGGATCACAACCCTCGGTGCTGCGCCCGTACCTTGCTCAGCCAGTGGGCGGGACCAAATATTAATCATTCTTTTTTTTCTTTTGTCTTTTTTCGTGTCCGGCAACCGATCACAACCCTCAGTGTCGTGCCCGTACCGGACCGGGACCAGCAACGGGATCACAACCCTCGGTGCTGCGCCCGTACCTTGCTCAGCCAGTGGGCGGTGTCACGCCCGTACCGGACCGGGACCAGCAACGGGATCACAACCCTCGGTGCTGCGCCCGTACCTTGCTCAGCCAGTGGGCGGGACCAAATATTAATCATTCTAACTGAAAGTTGGAAGAGAGTGACTGTGAGTGTATCACAAATATGAAAGGGCCAGAAGAAACATGGATTTGTTTAAGTTGTTAAAAGAAAGAAACTTTATGCCACTTTTTTAGAATAACTTTTAACAATCACCATATTTCAAGTTCAAGACCATTTTTGCAAACTCAGGAAAAAGCATTAGCCAAATAGCTTGGATCTTTCCAAGAGCCATAAATGCTTTCCCCATTTACTTCTCTGGATGGACCAAGAGGAGCAATCCACAGTGGGGTTTGGTTCTACAACGGGCACGTGCCCTAATGTGATGGGCCTGACATATACCTAAAAATATCTGACAGTTAGTTCCACGTTACCATTTTTCTTGTTTTTTGTTTGTTTGTTTGTTCCTACCAGAGAGGTATTTTATGGACAATTCTGAGTGCCTAATTCTCCCAAGTTCTTATTTTCTCATAGCCTAGAGATAGGGAAAGCAGTGGGACATAGATGAAATGACTATGTGTGGAGTGACATTTATATGGTCAATGCCCAGGTAACGAGGTTTTTCATATCCAGGTGCTATGCTAAGACAGACTACAGAGCTTTAAGATTTTGATATCCCATGTTTTTGTTTTCACCATTTCTTTGAAGTATGAGTGGGGGATTGTCTTCTCTTCTAACTCCTCCGTGAAAACTTGGACAGTTTCTAGTGGAACTAGGAACTACTCAAAAATGGTAGAGAGTCTGGTGATACATTAAGGAACAAAATACATGCTCAGTTCCAAAATTTTAAATGGCTCATCCAAGATACTTACCAATGCTTCAGACTTCATTCAAAGGGTAATGCCCTCTACTTTAAATCTGCCAGGGATGTCACAGTGAACATTCTTAATGACCAGACTAAAGTGCTAACTCAGCCGATAACAGGTCCAAAAGCCGTGGAAGCTTATGGCAAAAAGTTTGAGGTAAAAACTGTTTCTGGAAAATTACTTTTCTCTGCAGATGACAATGAAGTGGTAGTAGGAGCTGAGAGATTAAGAGTTTTAGTTTTCTTCTTGCCAGTTGATACCAAGATGACAGTATTTTCAAAGGAGGAGATCAACCTCTCCCAGGCCATCTTACATGTCAGAGTTTTGTGGCCTGTTGAACCTGCAAATACAGAACCTGTGGATACAGAATTTGCAGATGTCAGTTTTTAAGATGGCGACGGGTCTGGAGCGGCTGTGCCAGGAGACAGCGCGACCCTGAGAAGTGTGCGCTGTGATACCAGAGTACTATTTGCATTTCCAAGAGCAACAAAAAATGAATAAATCTTTGAACAACGAATCTACATGGACAAACAAGCAACAACAGGTTCGAGGTTTTAGGGCCAACACAAAAGAAGACTCCTGAGAGNACCACAAAGGGTGAGACAGTTTTGCATATTTATTTATTTATAAATAAATTTATATATATATATATTTATTTATATAGTTATTTATTTATAAATGAATCTATGTATTTATTTATAGATTTATTTATTTAGAAATGAATTTATAAATTTATTTATAGGTTTATTTATTTATAAATGAATTTGTTTGTAGATTTATTTATTTAGAAATAAATTTATTTGTAATTTATTTATTTATAGATAAATTTATTTGTAGATTGATTTATTTATAGATAAATTTATTTGTAGATTGATTTAGTTATTTATAAATAAATTTATTTATAGATTTATTCACTTATAAATAAATTTATGTATAGATTCATTTATTTATTTATTTATAAATAAATTTATTTATAAACTGGCACATCAGATTTATTTATTTTTCCCTAATTGACTCAGATCACTGATGAGATGAATCCCTAAAGGGGACCATCTGGCATGTGATTTCATAACTGATTAAGGATCATCTCTATGATAGTGTTGTATGTGTTCTTTGATGCCCTCGGCTTGAGCTAATAGGATAAAAA